GGGGGTGAGTGGAGTGGACCTCAGGTAGGTCCATGTCATGTCATTCCTGTCCTGCCCTTTGTTACCGACCCTTCACCCAGAGACCCATCCCCCACACAGAACACACATGCGAAATGTCAGATGAGAAATGACAGGAGTTTATTCAGGAGAAGGGGAAACGGGGAGGGATGGTGACCTGCCCAGTCTGAGCGACCAGGGCAGGAGCCGCAGGGGGACAGTGGGGAGCGAGGAAGGGAGCCTCTGACTGAGAAGTGTCCCCAGAAGTGGGGACTCAGGTCCTAGGAACACTCCGAGGGGGCCACTGTCTTCTCCACGGTCTTCCCGTCGTGCGTGACCTGGCAGCTGTAGGCGCTGGCGGACTTCCAGGCTTGGCTGGACACGCTCAGGTAGCTGCTGGCCGCGTACTTGTTGTTGCTCTGCTTGGAGGGCTTGGTGGTCTCCACGCCCTGGGTGACGGGGCTGCCATTTGCCTTCCAGGCCACCGTCACGCTGCCCGGGTAGAAGTCACTCATGAGACACACCAGTGTGGCCTTGTTGTTGGCGAGCTCCTCAGCGGATGGCGGGAACAGAGACACGGAGGGCGCAGACTTGGGCTGACCTGTGGGTGCGGGAGGGGCAGGAGGGGAGAGGCTCAGGGTCCATCCTGAAAGCTGCTGGGCTCGGTCCTCCTGTGGGCACAGTGTCCTGAGGACCATGCAGGACCCCGAGGTCAGGGGCCTCCCTGGGTATGAGCGTCCATGCCGTGCGGGGCAGTTTGGGGTGTTCATAGCTCAACTCCCCATTTTCCTGAGAAACCCTGAGCCTGGAACCTGCCATCACCGTCCTTGTGTGCCCGGTTCTGCCCCTCCCCCCAGCCCCCACATCTATCACCCTCTGGCTCTGCCTTCTCCTGGTATCTGACTGAGCCTGTCTGTGTCTCTCAGTCTCTTTGTCCCACAAAAGATGCTCTGAGCCTTCTGACCGCCATCTGGGGACACCTCTGACCTGATCCTCTGTGCTGTGGGTCATATGGTAGTCTATTTGTAACTTTTTTGAGGAACCTCCATATTGTTTTCCATGGTGGTTGGACTAATTTACCTTCCCACCAACAGTGTATAAGGGCTCTCTTTTGCACATACTTGGATGAGTTTTGCTGATGAACAAAAACTCTGTCTGTCTATCCCTGGTCTCTCTCATTCTACAGTCAATGGAGTCTTGGCTAGTCAGTTATATCACTAGAGCTTTTATGCCAATAATTTTACGTTAACTTCTAAGAGGATGTTCAGCCTCCAGAGACCAAAGGCCACCTAATCTCATACCTGTCCTTCCATGCCCTTCCTCCAGCACCTTCTCCTCCCCCCTGTGTCCTTCCTCCCGCAGGCTTCCCTGGTGCGAGGCTGGTGAGGACTCTGCATGGTAGCTCCATGCAGCCCCGGGGAGCCCTGCACCCCAGCATCATTCCTGGCCCCTGTTCCTGAGTCCACAGTCCCTGAGACCTGCCCTGAACCTCTGACCTGGGTGTCTCTAACCTTGGCCCTGAGCATCTGGGTCACCCTTAAATTTCCAGCCGGGTTTCCCTTGGTACTTCTTTTCCTCTCTTCCCCTTCAGACAGGGGCCAGCAGGGACCTGGAGATATAAGTCCTGTCCCACAGGAGCCCATCAGGGGAAGACAGAACAGAGCCCAACTGGAATCCAGCATGACCCTCCCAGACAGACAGAAGAATCCACAATGGATCCTGTCCATTCCCCTGTCTCTGAGGTCAGAGGAGAATGGCTGAAGGTGACCAAGTAGGACAGTAAGAACAGGGGTGGGAAGACCTCAGGTCCCCAAGGGCTGGGGATGCCCCCATCTCTGAGGTCAGGGGTGAATGGCTGAAGGTGACCAAGTAGGACAGTAAGAACAGGGATAGGAAGACCTCAGGTCCCCAAGGGCTGGGGTCCTGGGTGAAAGCTTGGCCACAGGCTGAGGCAAGACCAGAAAAAGAGCAAAAAGAGCAGAAAACAGCCCAAACTTTGTAGGGGAGCAGGAAAGGAGGGGGAAGGAGAGACTCACCTAGGACGGTCAGCTGGGTCCCTCCGCCGAACACATAACACTGTGATACAGGCTCATACAAAAACCTCTCTCTGGGAGGCCCTGCCCACCCTTGAGCCCACCCCCACCTCCCACTACAGCTGTGATGGAGGAAGCCTGGGCCACTGCCCCAGGGGGTGTCTGGTCTGCAAGGGGCACACACACTGTCGCCCCTTGCAGACCAGCAGGTGACAGGATAGGGGACAGGGTGCATTGCACGGACATAGCACTCTTGGAAGCAATTTTCCCAAAGGAATTAGGTGTTTGACAGGCTGTTTCACTCTGCTCTCCTGGGATGTGGGATGAGTATGGCGGACATCTCTGTCACCGCGAGGGAGGTTCCATGGGAATGGGTGGCACATCTCTCTTATGTCCGAACACCCCTAACCCCTGCGTGAGAGCATGAGGGGAGGGTAGTGTGTATTCCCTCTTCCCCCCATTTCCTTCCAGGGAAAGACAGGTTGGTCTGTGTAGAGTGTCTACTGGCCACTTCCTATGTCCCCAACCATCTGATCTGATCAAGACCTTGGCTAATCCTCCCTATGGACAGCCCCGATTGGGATAGCACTGGTGAGGTCACATTGGGACTGTAGTCATTGTCAACCTGCTGTTTAGGGTGAGCTTGGGAGTGTCCCCTGCGATTCTTTCCAGGAGTGGAGTGGTATGGAGTGCTGTGTCACAGGGGAGACCTGACCTTGCTGTAACCCACAGGCCACACTCCCCCTGGTATGAGATTGTCTGACCTGCCTTTACTCAGCTTCTGATTTCCAGTCGATATGCCCTCCCTGGGATGGCACTGGATGCCCATTCTGTGCCCAGGACGGTGCCCTTTCTGATCCATCCAGGTCAACTCCCACGTTCCCTCCACCTGAGGCCTGATATCACCTGCTCCATCCTTAAACCAACCCCCAAATCTCTCAGGTTGATCTGGTTTCAGGGTTTGAGATCTTCATGATGGAGGTTCCAAGCCCAAGCTAGGGTCACCTTGAGCCTGAGGCTGACCCAAGACGATGAGTACATCGTCTTGTGCCTCATCCTCAGCCCAGGTCCCCAGCACCATGTGTTCCAGGCTCGCTGAGTTGGTAAGGGGTGTGAGCATGATTGGGGAATTGTTAGGTTATATGATATTAAACTGTTTCTCTGCTGTATGACTTGTCAGTGTCTTTGTTGACTTAACATGCATAGTCAAAGTTTGACAAATGCACCATGGGAGGTACTGTTGAAAGCTTTTCATGATTCTAAGGCAAAGAGTACCTTCACCCAGTAGTAGCTCTCCCATTGGGTCCCATGTTGGGAAATGGAAGTTTAATGTCTGTTCCAAAGGACCATAGCCTTGGTTCCATGATTTCCTTCCCAATATTTCCATCAGTAGCCCACCTTGCACTCCTGGTCCTTCTTCAATTCTCCCTGGTCCCTCCTCAGGGCTCTTGAATCCCTCTCACTCAGCCCTTGTCCCTTGTTAGGTGACCAGGACTGCGCCCCATGGGTTGGTCCCGCAGGAGAAGTTCCTGGCCTGGGTCGCAGCTCCCATGGGCACTCAGAGCTCATCCAGGTCCCTGGTGGTGACTGGAGTGGACCTCAGGTAGATCCATGTCATGTCATTCCGGTCCTGCCCTTTATTACCGACCCTTCAATCTAGAGACCTCCCCACAAGGAACACACATGCGAAATGTCAGATGAGAAATGACAGGAGTTTATTTAGAAGAAGGGGAAACGGGGAGGGATGGTGACCTGCCCAGTCTGAGCGACCAGGGCAGGAGCCGCAGGGGGACAGTGGGGAGCGAGGAAGGGAGCTTCTGACTGAGAAGTGTCCCCAGAAGTGGGGACTCAGGTCCTAGGAACACTCCGAGGGGGCCACTGTCTTCTCCACGGTCTTCCCGTCGTGCGTGACCTGGCAGCTGGA